GTGTTATTCCCTCGCGCAGCACTTGCTTTCGGCATCTTGAATGGTGGAATGTGGAAGCAACTTGATCTTGATCGATGTGGACTTCGTCCACGACTTCATTGTACTTCTCACTGTCCACTCCGCGTCGGAAGGATCGTTCAGTTTTCTGTCTCCATTTAAGACAAAGTTCGAATGTGTCTCCCGTGGTCGATCTCTTGGTCATCGAGTCAGAGATTTTTGAGCTCAAAACAATGCGATGAAGCTGATATGGCCCTTCGCCATGAATTACCATGTAATTGATATAGGTGTATAATTAATCAGGCCAGATCACACAGAATCAGGACAGAATGTGCCAAGAGTTAAAGCCATTGCGCTCATCTGTTGTGAGATGGCGCCATAGTATGAGAGCATGAGTAGGAAGCGTATAGAAAGGAAAGAGATAGAGAGGCATCTTTATATCTATGAGCAGCTGCATATCACACAGGAGCATTTGTTATTTTAAGATATTTCATAGCCTTTATCAGTATTTAGTAGCTTGTTCGCCTTCGTGATTTGGCTACATGGAAAGAAGGGTAAATTATACGGGTATACTTTGTCTGACAAGAGTATCCGACGCTTGTTAAAGTAGCAATTCATGTTAGTATATTGGGGTCTTTAGGTGTAAGTACCAGGTCTCTCACAGTTCCCCTTTGAACAGTTTTGAGAGTGTTGGTAGTGCTAGTATGCCGAAGTATGAGCCTGACGTGGTTGCGAAAATCCGCTGGGCAAAGCGGGGTGAACTTTCTTCCCCCCCACCATTCTTCACTCAACCACGCACTCAATGCATATCCTAGTAAGTACAGAGTCTCTGTATGCTGTGTTGCGCATATAAATCCAAAGCTCACATCGTCTAGGTCACCAATGACGACGGTCCTCCGTCAAACCAGTCCTCGCCGTACGTGCATTCGCTCGTCCATTCGCTCCAAGCTGCCGGCCACACCGTCTCAGTCGTTCTTCCACACCAGCAGCGTTCATGGATCGGTAAAGCGCATATTGTCGGCGCATCCGTCAAGCCTACTTATTTCCGGCCCGGTACCCTCCACCATGAAGATGGCACAACGCACCACCTGCCCCGAGGCAGTAATGGTGAACCAGATGACGGAGGCGACGAATGGGTTCTGATCGACTCGACCCCGGCAAGCTGTGTACAGATCGGTCTCTATCACTACTTCCAGGAGCGCGGCCCCATCGACGTCATTGTCTCCGGTCCCAACTATGGGCGCAACACCACCGCACTGTTCGCATTGTCTAGTGGAACCATTGGCGCAGCTATGGAAGGAGCCTGCTGTGGAAAGCGCTCAATTGCTCTGTCTTATGCTTTCAGCTCCCGCAACCACGATCCTATTATTATCGCAGAGGCATCGCGCCATTCGGTCAAGTTGATTGAGTATCTATGCGCCAACTGGGCGGATGGCGTGGATCTCTACAGCGTCAATGTCCCTCTGGAGCCCGGCGTGAGTGAGAACAAGGTTCTTTACACCAATATGCTGGACAACAGATGGTCCTCTGGGAGTTGTTTCCGGGCTGCTGAGCCTACATCTGCCGATGACCCCGATCTTCAAGAGAAACAGTTGCGTAACGAAGGCGAGGTGACAGGGAAGACACCTGGTCAGAGTGTCAGCACCAGTGACACGTCTGCTACTGGACATTCACTTAAACACAAGCACTTTACGTGGGCGCCGAGCTTCCAAGATGTGTATCGCAGCGTTGAAGAAAGCGAACCTGGCAATGATGGCTGGGCGGTTAAGGAGCAGATGACCAGGTTTGTTGAGCCCAATCATACTCTAAATCATCGGCTAACTGTTGCAGTGTTACACCTCTGAAGGCCAATTTCATGCATACCCTCGGAATTTCTGGGGAGATCAAACTGTGAGTGGAGATTTAACGCGCGATAGTGGCATGGTATGAAGGGTTCTATCCGATATACATGTTGCATACACTTTCAATATCTGGTTTAGCTGATAGATATCCCCTACCCCTTTGATTTGATTGCATTTTTTTTCGAGTACATGGCCTTTTTTCTGATAGATGGACATCCTGTAGATCGGATAAACAGCCTTCGCTATACTCCATCATCGACTGTGATGACTCCTACGTGCAAGAAATGGTCGAACGTGCGATTACCCGTCGCCTGGGAAGTGCCTGCAAGCGAGTCTCGTCTCTAGATGACCTCCCAGAGAGATCTGCGCCGCTTTTCCAGTACCGCGAGTATGAGCGCCTCGAATTCGAACACATCATCTCCAGACCCTCGACATCCCTCGCAAATGCATACATCATCCGCAAAGCTTTGATCCGAAAGCACTACCTATCGAACACTGTAGCCAATTGGATCTCAAAGCACCCAGACAGCGTGCTACGGAAGCACTTCAAACCGGCGTTCGACTTCGAATTGGATTACGCCGAATTCCTCGATGATGCCCTTCTCGAAGCATACGAGCTGAACGACAGCCTGGCCAAGAATGAAGAACGGCCAGACTCCGAAAAAGAATGGTGGATCCTTAAGCCCGGCATGAGTGATCGTGGCCAGGGAATTCGCATCTTCAACAGCGAAGACCAACTCCGCGAGATCTTCGAAGAGTGGGAAGACCCCTCTGACGACGAGTCTGGGTCCGAGAAGGATGAAGATGACGAGGACAAGGATGTCAGCGGCGCTCACGACACAGGTGTTGTCACCTCACAGCTCCGTCACTTCCTCGTCCAGCCCTACATCGACCCTCCACTCCTCCTCCCATCATCCTCCAACCGCAAGTTCCACATCCGAACCTACGTCCTCGCCTGTGGCTCTCTGAAGGTCTACGTTTTCAAGGAGATGCTCGCCCTCTTCGCTGCAAAGGCCTATTGCGCCCCGCATGAAGAAGAAGACGACGTCGCCGACCTTGCTCGCCATCTCACCAACACTTGTTTCCAGGAAGGTGGTAGCTCCAATGAAGGTAGCGTGCGCCGCTTCTGGGATCTCGACCACCACGTTCCTGGTCTCTCTGATGACTGGAAGGAGAAGATCTTCGACCAGATCTGCGCAGTGACCGGGGAGGTATTTGAGGCGGCGGCTCGGGGAATGATGATCCATTTCCAGACCCTGCCTAATGCCTTTGAGCTGTTTGGTGTTGATTTCCTTGTTGATAGTGATGGGTCTGCTTGGTTGTTGGAGCTTAATGCGTTCCCGGATTTCGCACAGACTGGTGAGGATCTTAAGGAGGCTGTTGTTGGGAGGTTGTTTGAGGAGATGGTTGATGTTGCTGTTAAGCCTTTCTTTGGGCTTGGTGAGGGTGGTAATGGTGATTTGAAGTTGGTGGCTGATCTTGATCTGGGGAGAAAGGCTTAGACTGGGGTTTGATAGATGATGATATACCACTCTGTGTACAAAATAAAAGTTTCATTCGGTCATATAATTGTGTCCTCTAATAGTTGTAATCACATTTTTTGGTTCTATTATACAAGGTAACCCTACCCTCACTTGGACACTTCGAATATTTGCTCAAGAATCATCCTTCCAATATATCCTCCCCTCGAACAGACGACGGGCTGTACGAAAGACCGTAGCAGAAGTCAACGCTCCGTCAGCATCAAAATCAGCACCCACCAGCAGATTCCCACTGGCATGACCAATTGTAATACCAGCCCTGTCAACAGGATCCTTATCCACAACCCCAGCAACTGTACTCCCAGGTACACGAGCAGCAGCAGCAAGAGCCAAAGCAACAGTAATAGGGACAGCCTTATGCGGCTGCCCTACAGAAAGAGCACGAGCAAGAAGATCAACATCAGCAGATGTCTGCTTCTGCTCCACACCCCGAGCATCAGTAGCAGAGGGCGCCGCCACCATACAAATCTTTGGCACACTACCGGGCACACTCGAAACCTCACCCGCAATGCCCATGCTAACGCCCGCCTGTCGCCGAATAGAACCCAAACGCGGTAGCAAATCCGAATGAGCAGCAATCTCCTCCGGAGTCAAATTCCCATCCACACCAAGATCAGACGCCCGCACAAAAACACATGGATTCCCAACATCAATACACGTAGCTGTGATCCCGTCAAATACATCCGTCACATTCCCAGTAGGCAGCAAAGCCCCCGTAACAGACCCAGCAGGATTAACAAAATCCAATTGCACACGGGCAGCCGTACCAGCAACACCATCAATAGCAAAGTCACCACTAGCAGCAGCCTCACCCCCAACAACGGGGAACGAAGACCGAATAATCTTGCCAGTATTCGTATTATGAATGCGCACCTCCACCGAGTCATTGTCACTCTCGCTCTCACCCAGTACAGGAAACAACCGCGCATCAACAGCAAACGGACCAACAGCACTAATCATATTACCACAATTACTGGAGTAATCGACATCGGAATTCTTGATCCCGAGAGAAACGAATGTATAATCGACATCGGCATCTTCATGCGTCGGCGCGCCTACCACGCACACCTTCGACAGACTGGATATCCCACCGCCGAGCCCGTCCAGCTGGCGGCCGTAGGGGTCTGGACTGCCGATTACATTGCGGAAGATTGGCGCCCAGTCTTCTTTTGAGGTGGGGAGGTCTTCTTTTTTGAAAAATACTGCGCGTGAGGTACCGCCGCGGTAGTAGGCTGCTGGGAGGGAGTGTTGCTTTTTGGTTTGGAGGGACCGTTGGTATCCCGGTGTTGGCTTTGTTAGGGGAGTCCGGTATGGGAGTTTGCATAGTGGTTGTTTGAACATTTGGGGTGTGTTGTTTGATATTGATATTGGGGTTGGATGTTGATCTAAATACTCCGGGGCGGGATTGCTCCGGCCGAAGAGCGGAGTGGGATCGGTTCCGTTGGCGGTTATCGGATGTGCCGAGATAGGGTCTGGGGTTCTGGGGTATGCGTATAAAGGGTTATATGTTGGATTTGATGAAAGGACTGCCAATTATACACTGAAAGCTGTGGGAAAGTATACAAGATGTACTGGGTATTTTGAGATAGATAGTGTCCATATATCCCCATCCTTCTCTATCCTAGCCATATCGCTGCTTCGCAAGAGCCTGCAAGAAACTCATGGTTTCCGACTCCTTCTGTCGATACTGTTCTACTCGCTCCTCTCGCTCCGCTTGACGAGCACGAAGGATCTCCTCCCTCCGGGTCTCGCGCTCGTTCTTCTTGCGCTGGTTGTTCTCCTTCTCGCGTTTCAACGCAGACAAGTCATTGTCTCCGCCCATGAGATCTTCCTCCGGAGCAGCCTCTGGCGAGGCACCTCGCTGACTTGCGAATGCGCGATTGCTTGCAGCAACTTCCCGGCGCTTCTCTAGCTGCCGTTCCCGAGTACCAGCCTCAGCCCGCGGCGCAATCTCATCTTCAAGATGACGCCTTGCAGCCTTGTGCGAACGCATTTCTGCCTGATATTTCTCGCGTGATTCGCCGCGGGCAGCTTGCGCATCTTCAATGGCAGATTCTAGAGAGTGTTAGTACCGTATGTTGGCGAACGAACATTGGCTGGAGTAAAAAGCCTACCTCTTTTCAGCTCGAGATCTTGCATATTCGGGATCGTAGGCCCCAAATGCGTGCCGCCTCTTCCCGAAGCAGGTCGCGGAAGTGCAGGCCCGTACTCGTCATCGTCTTCATCGTCTTCTGGCTCATCCCGCGGGACATCACCGCCCTCTCGCTCACCCTGTGCATAATCAGGCGAATCACGCTGACCTAGCGGACCAGCAGGTGTCCGTTCCTCTACACTCTGACGCGCCCGTTCGAGTGTAGCAGGATCATACCATCCCTCAGCGAGTTCTCCACAGTTCCTGTAATGTCAGCGAAAGCGCAACAGACATGGAACACCCTTGTAACTTACCATTTTTGCACAAAGCTCTTCCATCTTCCCTTGACCTCTTCCTCGTCCATATCCTCGATAAATTTTCCTTTCTGGATATCTAGATACATGCCGAACATGGGCTTGTATGCTTCTAGGTCGCGTCGGGAAAGCTCGCGCGCCTGCAGTGGGAGGACTACAGGTTGCGCGGGAGTGTCTCTGCGATGTCGTTCGTTACGTTCGCGTTCTTTGTCTTGGCCATGTCGACGATGACGGTCTGATCTGTGTCGGTCTGATCGGTGCGGAGAGCGTGAGCGCGAGCTGTCTCTGGGTCGGTGGCGGTGTGAATGGTTGTGGCGGCTGCGGTGATGGCGGCTTGAGCTGGGCGCCGAGGGAGACTGTGCTCGATGCGATGAGCGAGTTGGTGAGGGCATTGCTTGGTGGTTGATCGATGTGACGTTGGAGGAATTTGTTCGGGGTGATAAAGGCGGGTCGTTCAGCTTATCGGTCCGATACCAGGGCTTCAACTATAAAAGGTCCCATCTACGTATATTGCCGCATTCTTTTGCGTGATCCTTTTCTGGTGAAGTTACCTGTTTGACTCGTCCCAGAAACATGTACATTTACGTAAAAGGTCTTATTGTGGTAAATACATCTAAGCGAAGAGGTATACAACTCAATCCAACACAATCATATCAGCTTTAGCTGGGAGGAGCAGCCTGCTCCTGGCTGGGGCTAGCAGCCGCCTCGGCAGGGGTAGAAGGCGCACTCGATTCCGAGTTGGCCTTGGACCGGTTGGCTGCGGCCATTTGCCAAGCTGGGATAGAGGCAGACCGACCAAGCTTGGAGAGGGGGTTGTTGGGGCTTGGGCTGGCGGCAGCCGGGGTAGCCGGGGTAGCCGGGGCAGCGGCCTGAGTAGGTTCTTGTTCGGCCGGGGTCACAGTGGCAGCGAGACCATTGGAGGGAGCGGGGGTAGTGGAGCTGGCGGGAGTCTCCTCCGGAGTCTGGCGAGGAGCAGTGGGGATAGGAGTAGATCCAACAGTCCTGCCAGCAACGGGAGTAGTTCCGCTACCGCCAAGACGGTTGCCCAGCAAGACCTTCAAGCTCTTGAGCTCGGTTCCGAGGTCCTTCAATCGGTTCTCATTGCCTTCCCGGGCACCCTCGAGGGCCTTGGGAATAGCATCCTTCAATGACTTTACCTCATCGCTGATGCGACGAGTTTCATCATCTCTCCGGCGGGACGAGTTCTTGAGATCAGCGACAAGAGTCTCCACATCCTTGAGAGCGCTATCGAGGCGCTCGGTTCGGGCTTCTTCAGCGGACTTCAGGGCGGCAGTGTCGGTTGAGAGTTGTTCAATTAGAGTAAATGCGCGCGAAAATTGTTCATCAATGTTCTCCTTGTCTTGTTCCAGCTGGGGAGGTGTCGGTGGGGCGATTAAAGGTGAGATATAACGCTGCATTGCGGTCAGTACCACCCACCATCTGCTACGAGGAGAGTGTCGAACCTTTGTGACAAAATACAATCCATAACCGACTCCGCCCAACACTGTTGCCATAATAAACCAATCGCGCCAATCTCTCTTGGGTGGCCTTTTCATGTGATTAGTGTCAAGTACCATGCGACAATCGATGATTGAACATACTCGGGAGGCGGTTGCCATTGGTTATATGGGGGATATCCATAGCCTTGAGGAGGTGGCGGTTGCCGGTAGGCAACCTGCTGTGAAGAATAGTTGGGCGCCGGGGATGATGCAGCTGTGGCTGCGGCCGCGGCAGATGGGTCCTCGCCCACTCGCGATAAGGCGATGTCGACCTCCTCTTGGGTCAAGTTCTTAGATTGAAGGAATGAGACTCGCTTCTCAATTGGCGACGATGCCACCGAGGGGTCCTGTAGGACTGGATGAAGTTAGCGATTAACGCATCAAAGTGTGCACAAGTGGTTCATACAGGTAATCTAGCGGAGGGTTAGCAGCATTCCCGAAAGCGGACGATAAGACTTAGCATAGTCGGCGACTTACAGCTGAGGCAATCAGCTCCTCACGAGGAGCCATGATGATGGATGTTGACTATCAGTGAAGTGCAGGAGGAGGAGTTAGGGGAGAGTTGCTCACATCGGTAATCGCCGTTTGGACCTCGGAACTCGCGCCACGCCAAGCTTCCCCAGACCGGCATCTCGTGATTCACGGATAAACCGTTGTTCCAGAGTGACTTACACCGCCTGCCTAAAGCGAAAGCGGCACGTATTGTTTACATCTCTTTGCCCAAATCCCTCGTGCTTGCCAACCACCATATCAAAACCCCTCCTCCTTCACATTTGGTGTCGCGACCTCCTTGGACTGTGAATACTTGTTTATAGCATAAGTCTGCTTATTATCTCAAAAGCCACGCGCATATTGCCACCTTTACGGCTTGATTTTCAAGATGTCGCAAGATACTGGGCTGTTCAGTATCAAGCGTCCCCCCCGAGAGGTATGGACCCCATCCATTCGGCGCATAGTCTCGAACTAAACTATATCTACGATTAAGACCCTCGGGAGTGTGCAGAACTTCTCCGCCATCCCCCAGCCCGCATCGGCGATGAAGCGTGGAAGCTCTATCGGATTCCAAAACCCCCCGTACACCTCTCAGAATTACCGAGCCTCTCTGATGGGCTCTGCTGGCCGGCCTCAACAACCTAATTTTACGCGCACGTCAACGGGTGGAGGCTATGGCGCTGATGCTGGTCTTTCGTCCGTTCGCCGATCCGTATCGAGTAACATGTTCGCTGGAGCCAGCGGCCGACAGAGCTACGCGCCGGGATCAAGTAACATGTTTGCTGGAGCCAGTGCTGGTCGACAAAGCTACGCGCCGGGAACTATTTCTACAAACACGCCTCAGAACCCACAGCGCCGAAGCAGTGTCTTCTCGCGACCTTCGACAGGAGGAGGCCCAATGGGTCATCAGTCGTTCTTCACACAGGTCCCAACCGTGGCTGGTGTTCCCAGAGACCCACGTCCGCTCAGAGACCGATCATTCCAGGCGCGAATTGGCCAGGAGCTGTTGGAATACTTGACACTACATGGATTCGAGTTGGAGATGAAGCATTCTTTGGGACAAAACACTCTACGCTCGCCGACCCAAAAGGATTTCAACTACATCTTCCAGTGGTTGTATCATCGCATTGACCCCGGGTACAAATTTCAAAAGAGCATGGATGCCGAGGTACCACCCATTCTGAAGCAATTGCGGTATCCCTACGAGAAGGGCATCACCAAGTCGCAAATTGCAGCCGTTGGCGGCCAGAACTGGTCAACATTCCTTGGAATGCTACACTGGTTGATGCAATTGGCACAGATGATGGATCGCTATTCGTCTGGCGAGTATGATGATGCCTGCGCCGATGCGGGTGTTGACGTTACAGGTGATCGCATTATCTTCCGTTTCCTAACGCACGCCTACCACGATTGGCTGCAGGGTGGTGAAGATGAGGATGATGACACCGCAGAGAAACGATTGATTCCGCATGTCGAAGCCATGTCTCAAGAGTTTGCTCATGGCAATGAGCGCTATGTGCAGGAGATGGAGGCTTTAGAGGCAGAGAACCGGGCTCTTCGTGATCAGATCAAAGAGGTGGAGAAGAACTCCCCTGATATGGCCAAGTTGGAACAGCACTTCCGCATTCTAGAGGATGACAAGCGGAAGTTTGAAGACTACAACCAGAATGTCAGGGGGAAAATCGAAAAGTACGAGACCCGTATTAAATTCCTCGACGCGGAGATCCAGAAAACCGATGTCGAGCTCCAGACATCTGAAGCAGAACGCGCCGATCTTCAGGCTAGTGTCGACCGCCAGGGTATCACCATTCAGGATATCGACCGCATGAACTCGGAGCGAGAACGTCTCCAAAAGAGCTTGGAAGACACCATGGCTCGTTTAGAAGAGGCGCATGCACGTGTCATGGAGAAGGAAGCCGAAGCCAGCCAGAAATTGGAGGACCTGGAACAGATCGTTAAAGCCTACAACACGCTTGGCTACCAGACAAGCCTGATCCCTTCCAGTGCCGAGAATGCCAAGGGTCAAGACTATGAGCTCAGCTTGAACATTAATGAGAACAATTTCTCCGCGAGCCAGATTGGCGGCCCGCCCAGCCGCATTTCTCCCGAAGGGGATCGTCTACTGGCGGAACCTTTCACTGGCTACCACCCAGCGCATCTGCTCAATCTTGACCTCCGGGGTGCTGTGCGGAACACTCTACAGTCTCTTCGGAAGGAGATTAATGAACGGCGCAAGCAGGGGATCGATGATGATCTTGAGCGGCGCAATCTACTTGACAATATCAAGGAGGCTATGGATGAGAAGCGAAGTGAAGTCGAGGCCCTGGAACACCGGCGCCGGGCGGCAGAGGAGGAATTCGAACGCACCAAGGAAATCACCACTACTCAGAAGCTGGCCTCTGACGCTCAAATTGAGAAGATGGAGAAGGAACTTGCGAAGATGCGCGCTACTCTCAGTGATAGTGTCCAATTGATGGAGCAGCGTGAGATGAACACCAACATCGAGTATGAACAACTGACGCTTCGGGCCAATTCTCTTCGGGAGGAATTGCACACCAACGTGGAGAATATGCTCAACGATGTGATTCGCTTCAAGGTCCATGTTCAAAAGGGCCTAGAAGACTATGAAAGCTTTGTTGTGGATGAGGTGGAACAGGAGCTTGGAGGCGAAGAGGCCCCTGAGGAGGAGCTATGAAGCCCGTTCTGACGATTAACGATTGGTGTTTTAATTTGATTTGTACAAATACCCCGAACAATTCATGTCTTGGCGAAAAGGACGCGCAATGCACCGACTAGTTCTGTAGGAAACGGGTTCTCTGGGGCTTGATTTAGGTTCTATGGGCCGACGCTTAGACGTAGCGTGTTTTCTATTGCGCCTCTAATTGTGCTTCATCCAATCCCCAGCCTCCATACCGCCATCTTCGTCAACCTGATGCAGGGGTGGATCGATCGACAGGAGCGACGTGTACACCCCGGTGGAGAGCTGTCATTTGTCTGTTTCATCTGGCTCTTCAATCATTTGAAACACGGCGCTTTGAGCCATGCTCGGAAATTCCAGACCATCTACTGCATCCCACTCTAATATGCTCTAAGGTGATAGGGCTGTTTCTCCCAGAGTGTTCCTTCCTGATTTGACCTTTTTCGGCATGGGATTGAGTCTTGTAGGAGACTTGCCACCTGCAGAGCGTCTCTCCTCGCTCCCGATGATGAACCCGGAACACTCGATGTT